ACTATAAATGGAGTTTTATTATTAGGGCTCTTCTAAATAATTGTTTTATATATGGAACAATAAATGGAGTTTTACTATTAGGGCTCTTCTAAATAATGGTTTTATATGAGGAACTATAAATGGAGTTTTACGATTAGAGCTATTCTAAATAATGGTTATATATGTGGAACTATAAATGCAGTTTTACTATTAGGGCTCTTCTAAATAATGGTTTCATATGTGGGAACTATAAATGGAGTTTTATTATTAGGGCTCTTCTAAATAATTGTTTTATATATGGAACAATAAATGGAGTTTTACTATTAGGCTCTTCTAAATAATGGTTTTATATGAGGAACTATAAATGGAGTTTTACGATTAGAGCTATTCTAAATAATGGTTATATATGTGGAACTATAAATGCAGTTTTACTATTAGGGCTCTTCTAAATAATGGTTTCATATGTGGAACTATAAATGGAGTTTTATTATTAGGGCTCTTCTAAATAATTGTTTTATATATGGAACAATAAATGGAGTTTTACTATTAGGGCTCTTCTAAATAATGGTTTTATATGAGGAACTATAAATGGAGTTTTACGATTAGAGCTATTCTAAATAATGGTTATATATGCGGAACTATAAATGCAGTTTTACTATTAGAGCTCTTCTAAATAATGGTTTCATATGTGGAACTATAAATGGAGTTTTACTTATTAGGGCTCTTCTAAATAATTGTTTTATATATGGAACAATAAATGGAGTTTTACTATTAGGGCTCTTCTAAATAATGGTTTTATATGAGGAACTATAAATGGAGTTTTACTATTAGGGCTCTTCTAAATAATGGTTTTATATGAGGAACTATAAATGGAGTTTTACGATTAGAGCTATTCTAAATAATGGTTATATATGTGGAACTATAAATGCAGTTTTACTATTTGAGCTATTCCAAATAATGGTTTTATATGTGGAACTATAAATGGAGTTTTACTATTAGGGCTCTTTTAAATAATTGTTTTATATATGGAACATTAAATGGAGTTTTACTATTATTGCTCTTCTAAATAATGGTTTTATATGTGGAACTATAAATGGAGTTTTATTATTAGGGCTCTTCTTAAAAATGGTTTCATGTTTGGAACTATAAATGCAGTTTTACTATTAGAACTCTTCTAAATAATATGTGGAACTATAAATGGAGATTTACTATTAGGGCTCTTTTAAATAATGGTTTCATATGTGGAACTATAAATAGAGTTTTACAGTTAAGGCACTTCTAAATAATGGTTTTATATGTGGAACAATAAATGGAGTTTTACAATTAGGGCTATTCTAAATAATGGTTTCATATGTGGAACTATAAATTGCAATTTTACTATTAGGGCTCTTCTAAATAATTGTTTTTATGTGGAACTGTAAATGGAGTTTTACTATTAGGGCTCTTCTAAAGAATGGTTTTATATATGGAACTATAAATGGAGTTTTACAGTAAGGCTTCTTCTAAATAATGGTTTTATATGTCGATATATAAATGGAGCTTTACTATTGTGGCTAGGCTAAGTTTTGGATTCATATGAGGGAATATAAATGGAGTTTTAGTATCATGTCTATGTTAAATAATGTAATGAACTATAAATGGAGTTTTACTCTTGTGTCTATGCTAAATAATGATTCCTTGTATAATGAGTAACTAGAAATGGAGTTTTACTATTATGGCTAAGCTAAATAATGGTTTTATATGAAGAATTATAAATGGAGTTTTACTATTATGCCCATGCTAAATAATGGTTTTCTATGAGGGACTACAAATGGAGGATTACTATTATGTCTATACTAAATAATAGTTTTATATAAGGAAATATGAATGGAGTTTTACTATTATGGCCATGGTAAATAATGTTTTTATATGAGGAACTACTAAATGGAATTTTACTATTATATCTATGTTAAATAGAGGTTTTTATGAGGATCTACAAATGGAGTTTTACTACTATGTCAATGCTAAATAATTTTTTTATGTGAGAAACTTTGAATTGAGGATTACTATTATATCTATTCTAAATAATGGTTTTATTTGAGGAACTATAAATGGAGTTTTACTATTATGGCTCTTCTAAATAACAGTTTTATATTAGGAATTATAAATGGTGTTTTATTATTATGGCTATGCTGAATAATGGTTTTACATGAGGAACTATAAATGGAGTTTTACTATTATGCCTATGGTAAAAAATTGTTTTATATGAGGAGTTACCAATGGAATTTTACTATTATGGCTATGTTAAATAATGCTTTCTTAGGAGGAATGACAAATGGAGATTTACCATTATGGCTATTCTAAATAATGTTTTATATGAGCAACTATAAATGGAGTTTTACTATTATGGCTATTCAAAATAATGGTTTTATATGAGAAAGTATAAATGGAGTTTTACTATTATGGCTATGCTCAATAATGGTTTTATATGAAGAACTACATATGGAGTTTTACTATTGTGGTTATTCTAAATAATGGTTTTATATGTGGAACTATAATTGGAGTTTCACTACTGCAAACAATATATAGCTTATTTGAATTTGCAAGTAAATTCCTCTTTTCAACAAGTTTTAAATTGTTCAACCAAATAAAATCTTATAAATTAAATTTTAAATCTCACTTTATTTGAAATTGTATCTGATTATCATTTTATTTTGTGGAATGTGAAACAATGGATATAAATGAAAAGCTTAATGTTTCTACAATTAAATAAAAGATAAATAATTCAATGATAAAAAAGATTTACTTATTTATATTTGATAAAGCAAAGAATTATAACAATTTCTTTCCTTTTCTAGTTATTTATGGAAAATATGCAAACTTTCTTTTTTGCATAGCATATTTGATACAATTTATATTAAATACAGAACTAATTAATATTAATATTGAAATCACTTGTATCTGAGTAAATTCTCTTCCTAGTGTTTATTTTATTTTATGCATAAAAAATATGAATTGATATGAAATAATTATATTTTTATATCATAATAAATCTAAATTATCAGAAATATTAATAATGTTCATTTGATATCACATAATGATAGAGAATCTGAGTGGCTTGAAATTCATATTGTTTCTAAAGGGCTTGTAATCACCAAGTGATGTTGAAAAACTAACAAACATCCATAACTTATATAACATTAAAATCTTTAATCATCTTCTTGATTCCCAGAACCAATTATGTCATAAGTGCACCATATGTACTGCAGCTATAACAGTTCTAGGTGTGTCTAAAGCAAGGCTGCTTTATGAAGTCCATCCATGCTCAGGCTGGTTTTGAATTCATAGTTGTGCATCCAAGGCTAGAGAATTCATAGCTAGTGGGAGGAAGAGATGGATTCATGCCTTTCCCAAGGAAAGGCATGAATCCATCTAGTCTGAAGTAAATACAGTAGACTATCCCATAATTTGAACTTGGCTTACCAATTCTACTTTTTATGCTGATATTTGTTAGACTACCAGAATATCCAAAAATCCAAAAATATTTAATATGTTTGCTAAATATCAAACAAACCAAGACAAACAGAGGCAGTATAAAAGTTTTGAACAAATTGGAACTGTGAAGAAATGCATGACTCTCAGTTCCAATTTGTTCCAATCAGTTTGTGTCCCCAAAGAGACTTTTGCTTCTCTAAGTCAACCATTGATGCATTAAAAATGATTGCTGAAAGAGTCTATCAAACTTTAAATAAGAATGGTGGAGCTTGGGCTGTTGCTTTGGATATCTCAAAGGCATTTGAATTTGACAGGGCATGCCAGTCTTCTCAAGTTGAAAGGTTATATTGTTTCTGAACAAATTTTTGAAGTGACTCAATCTTTTTTATCAAATCATGGAATGGAAGTTGTCTTGAACAGCCACTCTTCTAGATCTTTTTTCATTAATTCAAGGTGTTCCAACCTGTAGGGCTCTATCCTTCCACCTATGTTGCTCTTAATTTTCATCAACAAACTTCCTGATGTCATCAGTTCTCAACTTAGTATTTATGCTGATGACACAATTCTGATAAGTTTTGATATGGTCAAATTGGCAACTGATCTCAAAAAATAAGGAATGGCTTGTTAATTTTAATGCCTCTAAAACAAAACTGCTGTATAATGAGCAGTTCTATCTGAGAGAACTCTTTTTAACCGATGCTAATCTCCAGGAGTGGGACTCATTGCATCTTCTTCTCTGCTGACATGATGTGGAAAGATTATATGGAATCAATAGGAAAGCTAAGAAAGTTGGTTCAATGTGTCATGCTAGACAGTTTTTCTCACTAGAATCTATCTTACAAATTTATAAGTTTACCATTCATCCATGCTTTAAATATTACTGTCCCATATGGTCTGGTTCTTCTGCTATATATTTTGACATTGGCTTTAGTCACTTTCCCACTACTGTAACGTCACTTCCCTGGGCCTTTTCTATAAATATTTTCTTGGTAATTATTCTGATGAAGTTTTCTCTATGGTACCTAGACTTTATGAATTTAAGTGCAGTACTATATTGGCAGCAAGGTCTCATCATTTTACAGTTTAAATGGCAGCTAGATGTAACTGTAATGCTAACATGCTATTCTAACAGTTTTTTTCCTCACACTTCTTGCTTGTAGAATTCTCTTCCAGCTTCTTGCTTTCCAGTCAATTTTGATCTTCAAAAATTTAAATGAAATGTCAATCATTTTCTTCTGTCTTCTTAATTCTTGTTCTTTTATTGTTCTCTCTCCTTAATAGTAGCTTTCATCATAGTCTCTAACACTCAATAACTCCTTGCATCTTAGTGGATTTATTGCCTTAGTAGATAATATTTTGGAAATAAAATCAAGAAGAGTGGAGAAGTTAAAAGATATTATGTTGAGGCATTATTGTTTAATGGGAAACAAATATGACATTTGAAGATAATCAGTGATTTATTTGTTTAAAAAAATAACAATGACAAGAAAGATTATTCAATGAAAGAAAAATCTTAAGTAAAACAGTAAAATCCATTTGTGACTTACATCATCCAAATGAAAACCAGAAATGCCACAATTGTTGCTCTCGTGACTTTTAAAGGAAGCTAGAGAGAAAAAGGTTTTCATTAGAAAAAAGCATTAGGAAAGGTTTAACTGTTAGAGGATTAAACAGAAAAAAACCTTTACAATTAAACCAAATACAATTGAGAAAAAAAACAAAAACAAACAAACAAACACACACACACACACACACACACACACACACACACACACACACACACACACACACACACACACACACAAATGATTCAAAAGAAAACAGATATTTAACAAAATTTTAAAAAGTTTAAAATTAAGAAATTTTTATACTCTTGGTATTTTCATTAAATAAGCTGCAGTATAATATTTAAAAACAAACAAGCAATTTAAATAGAAACTAGAAAGAAGAAGTTAAGCATTTTTTGTATAATTTATTAATAATAATGAATACCTTATTCATTTTATTCATAGCTTTTCTATGTTATTTATTTAGAAAATTACAATTGATATGAAAATTTCAAACTTACCTTTAAAGAAAGAATATTTTCTTGCAATGAAAAAAAAAACTCCAATCAAAACATGTCAATTCACTTACCTAACATGGATTTCAATCGGATGGTACACATAACAAAATCTGCAAAAGTAATTTGTCCGGCTTTGTTACTGTACCGCATCACCAAAGCCTGGAACGCATTATTGCTGAGTTTAAAACCTGTTTGAGAAAATAAACAAATGATAACAAAATGTATTGCATTCTCTGATTCAGTTTTAAGAACCTAAAAAGTAGGCTCATTGACTAATGAATTACAAAATAATGCATATTTTATAGAATACATAAAATATTTAGTGCATTTTTAAAAATATTGTTTAATCACTATTTTAATATTTGTTCTTGTGAAATTAGTTTTTTAGAGTTAGTGTCTCATTGAGTGATTTATAAAGGTGGCCTTGTAAGAAAGTTGTCAAAATTGAATACATTTATATTTGTAAAAATCTGAAAATTTATCAGTTGAAATATTGTTCAAATTTAGTAAAAATATTTTTCATCATTGATAGAAAGTAGAATGGATAACTTACAAAATATTTTGGAGAAGAAATAGTAGGACATTAGTTGATGCTAAAACTCCATATGTTTGTGTCTACTTCACTTTCTGTGTGTGTGGTGGGGTTTTGATATTATATATAGTCTTATATATTATTATAGAAAAATGTAACAATGAAGTTTTAAATTTAAATTTTAAAGTCTTACATTAATTCTAGTCAATATTTTCCTTTTTTATATTTATGAAGACCTTATCAAGTAAACATTCTTTACGTTTCTCATTTGCAGGCCCATTCATCTTTATTTTATTAATCAATGCTAACATTTAGTTCTAGTAAGAACACAGTAGAGTCCAAAAACATGTAGTTTTAGTATGCAAAAAAGCAAAAACAAATAGTACAAATTTTCTGTATATTCATAGCTATAAGTAATTATATACCAGCATATATTTCTACACAAATTCATCTCCAATTTATGAGAAAAGTAATATAACTCGTGATTTGATCTAATAAAACATTTTCTGACACATTAACACTTATATTTCAATTTTGAAGCCCTATACTCACCAGAATGGTTGAGTGCTGAACGCAGTTCATATGAATTTAGGTTCCCGCTTTTATCAATATCAAACTTTTTGAATGTTGTCTGTGGGAGAATATAAATATTTGAAATAACTGAAGGATAAAATAAAAGTAGAAATATTACAACTTGATTTTTAAGAATAGATTTTGGCAGTGAGAAGAGAAATATGTCAGCTTTTGTTCAAACAATTGACTTTTGAAATTACTTTTACATATGATAATTTATTTTAACAATTGTCATTTTCAATCCAAAGATATCTATGTAGTTGTATCTGTCTGTTATATGGAAAAATTAATCTTTGAAATATTTTATGGAGAAAAGATCGCAAACAGAAAATATCATTAATATATCTGTAGATTAAGGGTTTATCTTTAATGAAGATAATAACGTCTTATCCTATGTACATTATACATTCAAAAATATATTCCAAACTAGAGAGAAAAAAAAGTATATATATAAAAGTATATAAGAATTATATATAGGAAATTATGTTCAGTGGTTTGTAATCATTTGTAAACAAAAAGTATGATAATAATTGTTCAAATACTATTTAAAATTAAAAGCAGTATTGCTTCCTTAATTTCTTATATTAAATGAAAGGTTGTTTCAAACTACATTTTTGACTAATAATGTTAATTTTGATCAAAGTTATATTATTAAAGAGAAATAAACATAACTTCTTTGTTGATAACCACAAGGTCATTTCATATATGTACATATAATGTTAAACTAACACATGTGGATAAAAATAGATTTGACAATTGCATGACACATAATTATTAAAGTGGATACAAGTTTGTATTACTTAGGTAAAATTTCAAGTTTTATAGAATCCAAATAGAGAATAAATTCTGCACTATCAATCATGTATAACATAAATGACATTCAACTTTTATTATTAACATTGATCAGAAGGAGATTAAAAAGAATGACAGAGTTTCTCAGTTTTCTACAACAATGACTAATACATGATGTGTGACAAGGAATGTTGCATGAATTACCTACACAAAAACTATGTGAATCTTTGTTATTCTTAACCACAGATAAATTTTCCCTCAAACTAATGACAATTATCTTTGAAAGATAAATTTCTAATGAAATTAGGAATATTTTAAAACTGTGAATTTAGGAATACTTTGAAACCATGCAAGAATACATAACATTGCAGTTAAAAGAAAATAATCAAGGTTTATGTTTTGTTATCAGTTGTTAGAAAATGGGAAATTAAAGGATTTTATTTTTTTAATCTTCACGTTTTTTTTCTCGTGTTGCACACAGGAAACTTAGGTTGTGGATTGGGCAGTAAAGTATTAATATAATTAATTATGTACTTGCCTTCCAACGATAAAGATCTTTCCAAAGAGTCTGAAATTCATCAAAGCCCAGTTTTCCAGACATGTCTCCCTAAGCAATCAGTCAAGAAAAAGTATAGAAAATTTGTTTTTTGTTTTAAACTCCTTCTCTTCTCTCTCTCTCTCTCTCTCTCTCTCTAATCTATATATATATATATTATATATATATATATATATTATATATATATATATATATTTTTGTTATATATATATATATATATATTTATTTTAAATATATATATTTATATATATATAAATAAATATATATGATTGATATATATATATATATATCTTATATAATATATATATATACATAAATATACAATAAATAAAAATATATATATATATATATATATATATATATATATATATTTAATTTACATATATATATATATATATATATATATTTATGCATATATATATATATATATATATGTACATATATATATATATATATATCCTTTTAAATTTTTTTATCAATATATAGATATATAAATATGTATATATTTATTGTGATATATATATATATTTCATATATATTTTTTATATATTAATTTTTATCTATAGAAATAGCATGTAAACAGAAAATATATTAAACATATACATCAAAGGAAAAAACTAAACACATTACAAAAAATCAGGTAATAAATTTATTTCAGCAGGTAAGTTTTTAATATCTGCCTCATCAGAAATTACAAAATGGTTTAAATTCATCCAGACAATATGTTAAAAAACTTTTAAAATAAATCATAAGAACAAGAAGTCTAAACTGCTTGACCTAGAAAAATTTTATCTGTGGAGTTATTTTTTTTTGAAGAGATGGGAGGGGAAGCAAAGTACCAATACAGTGAACAGGGATGAGAGGGGAAAGTACAAATGACAGCTAATGAAATACATTGGAATCAAATCAAAATTTATATCCTCATCATCTAATTTTTGTCAAATTTCAACAATAATCACATATATAAAAAATAATAAAAAATTAAAATGTAATATACATAATTTTATATATATATATATATATATATATATATATATATATATATATATATATGTAAACAAATATTTATGGATATTGAAAAAACAGTCTGAAGAAAAATATGGAAAAAAAAATCCGGCATATGGAAATATGCTGTTTTAATGCTGTTTTACAATTTCTTTCAAACGTTTCTTGCTATTTAGTCCTTCTTCAGGACATAGTTATTAAAACATAATTAAAATTTAGACGATATTCAAAATAACATGAAAAAACGATAGACATAAGACTAATTTTTGAAAGAATAACTTTTTTTTATATCCATATATTTGTTAGTATACTCTAATGGAAATACAAACCTGAATTTCATGTCAAGTAATAACATGGAAGATTCAAGGGTATACGTAAATATAAGAATTTTATTGACATTTACGTATTCCATAAGAACAGAAAAGATTTCTTAACAAACTGTTTATATGAGAAAAATCATTCGATCAAGAATATGAATTTTAATCTATATTTTGAAATTACCAATTTTTATAATTTCAGTTCAATTTATGTATATATATATATATATATATATATATATATTTTTATATGATACGTTTCCTCATCAATTAAACAAAATTGAGTTCATTGACACTGATATTTTATGTATTCAAAACGGAATGCTGATCTTAAAAATTTCAGTTATTCAGTTTTGATTAGTTTATGTCTATCGTCTTTTCATGTTGACTTGAATATCGTCTAATTTTAATTTATGTTTTAATAACTATGTCCTGAAAAAGGTCTACTAGACCGAAACGTCTGACCATTCACATACATTTCAACAACATTAAAACAGCATACTTGCATATTCAATTTTTGTGTTTGAAATCAAATTTTTTTCAGACTGTCATCAATTCAGTTTAAAAAGAGGGAATAGTAGAGAGGAAAACTGGATCAGGAGCACAACAGGAAGAGGGATCATCATTTTAACTTAGAGCTGAAGAGATCAATTAGAAAAGATCCAACTCAATCCATAAAACATTTGGCATGTGAGAGAAAAGTTTTAGCTATGACAATACAAAGAGCAGTGAAAAAAGACTTGAAAATGAAATTGTATGTGAAACCTGTGAGGACAGAAATAAGGTTAGAGGGTGAAGATCATCTTGAATAAATTGGAAAATGATCTGAAATTATATATATATATATATATATATATATATATATATATATATTTTGAACTTTATTTCAATTCTTCTTGAGCTTCTGATCCTTAGCTATGATTAATTAATGATGAACATGTCATTTTTGTTTATGATTGATTTCATCACGATTCTTCTGTTAAGCTTGGAGAGTAATTATACATTCAGAGTCCAATAGTGCTATAAAAACGTTGGAAAATTTCAGTAAAAGATATCTTTAATAATTTTTAAATACAATGGTTCAAAACTTAATTTAACAAATGTTGGCAATTTTACTGTAACATAATTTGGACAATTTTGCACACTTTTATATATATATATATATATATATATATATATATATATATATATATATATATATATATTTGGGATTTGTGATATCATTATAGAAGGAAATTCTTACACTTTTTGAAAACCCGACAACAAATTTCAAATATTAAAAAAGAATAAACTGCAACTTAAAAAATGATTTATTAGCATATAAGTTAAACAAAATAATACAAATCCTATATCGGTATCATCCAAGCATTAAGCAACAGAGTTTTCCTTCACAAAAGCAACATTAAATTACCAGGCAACAGGAAACTCTGTCACAACACGTCTACAAATGCAATGAAGGTAAATTTAAAATTATGTCGCTATATCAAACATACAATTATTCTTACCTACAAATACAAGAAAAAAACTTCATAGACAAATTTAAACCAGCACTAAACAAATTCTAACCCCACACATATAAACATAGTGCCCGAACACAGGATCCTACCATTTGACACACACACATACATATAAATTCATATTTATATGATGTGTGTGTATATATATATATAGAATATATATATATATATATACTATAAAAACAAACACATTAGACAGACCACATGCAAACACACACACACAATTACACACCATACAAATTCCAGTGTGTGTGAACCTGATATATATATATATATATATATATATATATATATTTATATATATATATACTATTTACTTGCTAATAAAACAATACATATGTATAGAGAAGGAATATATATACACATACTAACAAAAACACAAACACAATACACAAAAATGGAGATAGGTTTAAAAAGATACAGAGGTCATAAAAAGATAATAAGAAAGACCTGCTTCCTTCCCCCTTTCTCTGACTAATCCTAATTGTTTTAGTTCCCTTAAGAGGAACATTTTATCCATCAGTCCAAGAACTTGGATTACTACCACACACAAAAGACAATGGTTAAATGTAAGAAAACATAAGGAAAAAATGCATTCCTTTGAATAATATGTGGAAATAACTATTCTTTGCTTGATGAAGGTCATGCAGACCCAAAAAGAATGTGTAAAAAAAAATTATGGAAAATAAATATATTATATGTATTTTAAAAAATCCACATTATAACCAAAAATATTTGATGCTTTATTTTTTCTCTTTAAAAATATATCCTCTGCATGTGTATATATATATATATATATATATATATATATATATATATATATATATATTATATATATCTTAAAAATTTTAACATTTAAGTAATATATATATATATATATATATATATATATATATATATATATATATATATATATATATATATTACTTCAAACGTTATTTGTAATGACGCTATCATATTTGAAATAGATGCCATTTTTATTTTTTATTTTAAACAGTGTGTATTACAACTATTGACTGTGCACTTGAGAAAGAAAATTATTAAGATTTTTATTGACACTATTATTTCTAATATGCAATTCTAAAACAGTTCACAAGCGATAATTCTTAATTATTCAGTTTTACAAAAACTGAAAATTTAAACAGAATTATATTTTCCTAAATAACAATTTAATCCACTGGCTGATATTGTCGGAGTTAACTCCTCCTTTAGTACATTAACCCTTTCACCAGGGGTCACTCTTCGCTGCTATAAATAGCCGCGGACCCTTCGCCTCTATCTCTTTTTCCTTCAGACCTGTGCGCCGACACCTTGAGGTAAATCTCTCCTTTTCATCAGGCTTTCAGCTTACAACCTCGAAATGTAGGCGCTAACAAGGGATAGCGTGGAAACACGCTAAGCACAATACACACGCACGCACATACAGAATATTCACACACACCCACACACATACAGAATATTCCCATACACTTCATCCTTTGTACTGTTTCCATGTATTGTAACTTGTTATTAATATATATTTGTATATACATATATTATCAGTCTTGTGTTTTGTTTGCTTTCTTTGCCTTCTTCTTTGGACTTAATCAGAGTCCAACCTTTTTATGTAGTTGGGCTCGGCGGGCAGGAGTATCTGAACCTTACATGCGTTTCTTCTACGTCTGACTTCTATCAACAACATAACAGCCACGGCCCTCTACAATATAATCCATTGGTTTGAAGAGGGGATTTTGATTTTAGTGTAAAAATTTATAAAGAATATAAGTCTATTGTTATTCATCAAATTTTACTTTTAAGAATCCTCTTAAATCATGTGGATCAAAATTGAATCAAATATTGAGTAAATTTCAAGCAATATTAGATTTGTTCTTCTCTCAACCATAAAAGTTTTTGCAGCTGAAACAGTTCAACCCTTATAGGAAAATGAATAATCATCTCAGATTAAGTTGATTGTGATCTTCTGCCAACCATAAAAGCTCTTGTTGCTCAAGCAATAATGCAATACTTACAGAAAACAGGCTTTTTCTGTGACAAAAGATATGCAAGTTCAATTTTTGTTGAGAGTTTATTCTTTAATTCCAATCTGTGCTGTTTACTAATAGCGGTAGACTGATGACCTGAGTAGTTGTAATAAAAAGCAACTGAGAATTAAGATGAGAGAAATACTAGTCAACAAAAATGCTTTTCAATAAGCTGTAATATGCTTAAACTTGAGAAAATATAATCAATGAAAATTCAGATGTACAATTCATTTTCTATGGAATCAAGCTATAATTCTCGTGGAAAAAGTTTATGAACTTTCATTGATAATTATAAAGTAAATAATGCTACAAATAAACTGAAAAACATTTTTGAATAGTATTCATGTTTAGAAATATAATAGCAAAATGTTTTAATAAAAATAAAATAACATTTTTGAAAGTTTAAATGTTTATAAAAATTCAGTTTTAGTGGTTCATATGCAGTTGTAAGAATCTTAAATATCAAAATATATTTAACTTAAAATATATGAAAACAAATATTAGAATGCATTTCATATGAAATGTATACACTTATTATAAATTAAGAATGTGTTGAAGCCCAAGTGACTAAACCATGAGACTTGTAATGTTTTAAAAATACTGCTACTGAAACTATAAATGAAAACAAAGTTGAAATACACTTTTCATAATGTAAATTAAATGTTTTATAGTTTGCCTTGCCTTGAAAATCCATTAAAAAATAAGGCTCTGTTCATTTTTCATAATGAAAATTAAATTTGTTATAGTTTTTTGCATAGATTTCTTTCAAAAACCATATTAAGTATTCCAAAATTATTAGATATATTAGTAAGATTTTTTGGAGGATCTGTAAATCAATGTCTTACTTGTTTCAAAGTCCTGGATCTGATACACTTCTGTTTTCAATTTGGAAAACAAAGGATACATCATGCAGTGCTACCATACTTCGGCAGGGTTCAATGCCAAATCCTTCAAAGTCAAATTCTGAAAGTAATGTAGAAATTTCAGTTACAAGTTCATTTAAAATCCTTACAGATCATATCTCTTTGTTACAAAAGAAGATTTCTCTTTCACATGTAGGAAGTAGCAATTGTAATCATGATTGTAACATGGAAGAATAATATAGTTTACAAGATTGGTAGAATCATAAATATAATCCATATATAAATTTGATAAAATAACATTAATTATAATAGTATTTTCCATCTAGAAATGAGTTTCATTATTTTAATAGATTGATATGAAAACTTCAAAAGAATTGTCATCCTCCAAAACATTTTTAAAAAATGAGAGCTTGTTAATGTGCAAAAATCCAGATATAAATAAAATATAACTGTAAAGATAAAATAAATAAAAGAGAAAATCAAAACTTTACCAACACATTTCATCCCTTGACATTTATCACACATTTAGTTTGATAAAGTTTCTCAAGGAATGAAACGCATTGGTAAATTAAAGTTTTCCTTTTGTCTTTTATTTATTTTGATTAATAATGTGTCTAGCCATATGATAGGGATCTACACACATGTGTACCTTGAATTATTGTGTTTTTCATAAAGTTTATTATAAGTTAGTTTTATGACTTATATAAAATGTTTCACAGATAAAATTTTTTATTGAATTTTCCTTTTTCAAATTTTGTACCATTTAGTCAGTGTTCAGTGATGGATCCAAATAGTTTTGATTTCTTTTATTTTAATAATAATAATAAAAACGGTTGTATGGGAATATTCCACATTTATTAAACTTAAAGATGAATTTCAAAATATATTTGATAAAAAGAAAATATTTTTATATTTATTTAAAATCTCTTCTCATAGAATAAATATTTATTTAAAAGTAGATCTGAAATCAGATACTTGCTTCCTTTGGAAAAACGACTTTAGCTACTACAATTTAAATTGATTGTTTTCAGCTGGTACAAACTAATTACAGTGTATGTGCATGGCCTTCAAACCCGGATATAAGAGAGTTGTCGGGAAGAAGTATCTTATATCCGGGTTTCTCTTATATCCGGGTTTGGTCTATTTTGTTTAGGTAAGTATGGGAACACTTCATATAACGCTTTTTACGTACAGAACACTAGTTTATTTAACAGTTATAGACATAAAAACACAGACAAAAATACATTTTCAATCAGTTTTCAAAATAATTCAATCAAAAATTACTTTTTCTTAAAAAAGTCAGTCATTTTTTATTGTACAGAAAACTCTTTGTTAACATCATGAACACTTTCATACAATCCGTAAATCATTTTCAATGCGCCATCAGGATTACTGCTTTTTGCTTCAAAGTAGGCTGTCAGAGTTTCAAGCGCATTCAATGCAGCCAGAGAATTTGGCACTGGTTTGTCACTTTCAGAAACTTCAGAACTTACGCTTTCAGCATCATCATCTTCGTCAAAATCTTGATCATCCGATTTTATACCACGTGTGATGTCCGTGTCAGTCAGTTCTCCATGACATTGTGTACGGTCGTCGAAGCTGATAAATTCGTCAAAACCTGTTTGCTCCATGCCCGATGGTAGAGAAACTTGATCATTTTCGTCGAGTATTTCTTCCACTTCAGCCTGTGATTCAATGACAAAGCCGGCCTTTTTAAAACAATTTTGAATTGTTGACGGTTTGACCATGAAAAGTGCTCGCTTCATCATGTGCATGGCCTTCAAAACAGTTATCTGCTTGGCCACCTCGGACAGCGGCGATCGCTGCGATTTGCATTCGAACAAGTTCTCGACGATAATACGCTTTGAATGAACGAATGATGCCTTGATCGAAAGGTTGAATGGGACTGGTGGTGTTTGGTGGCATGAACGACAATTTGATGTTTGACAGATTTGTACCCGGCAGTAAGTTATGAAAAGTTGCATTGTCCAAAAACAGAATAATCTTTCGATTTTGAGCAATCATTTTTCGATCAAGCGTTTTTTTACGTCAGTAAACTGAAACAGCTGACTAGTCATCCAGGCTTTACGATTAGCGAAGTAAGAAAACGGCAGAGTTTTGACATTTTTAAAGCAGCGTGGTTTTGCCGACTTACCAACAACTACAGCTTGCTTTTCACTGCCGTCCATGTTTGTGAACTGAAGCATCGTGAGTCTGTCTTTGGGAACTTTTGTCCCATTTGACGGCAAATCGCAAAGATCCAGACGGCATGGCTTTGTAGAAAATTCCCGTTTCATCACAGTTCCAAACATCTTTTGGATCATATCCACGAAAAAGTTGCGGCAAAACGATTGTCACCCATTCGTTGGCAGGACCCTGATCTGCTGACGTTGATTCGCCGTGAAATTTTTTGAACGAAACGCTATTGGCCTGCTTCCAGCGCATGAGCCAGCCATTGCTCGGTTCAAAATCAACTTCAAGATTTACGGCCAGTTGTGATGCTTTCTGCCTGATGACGTGATCGGTGACGGTAGCTCCATGAGCACATGCTTGCGTAAACCATTGTGTAAGCGCTTCGTTAACGTCCTTGTGCACGGATTGGCGCTTTCGTTTGCGATTAGTGTTTCCGTTCATTTGCATGCAAGATCTGAGATCTTCTTTCTTGAGAATTTTTGCTGCTGTTGAATAACCTATTCCGTACTTTTTGGCTGCAGCGGCCAGTTTGAGTTTCTTCACTTTGACATCGTCGATGAGCTCCAACTGTTCAGAAATGCTCAGAGTTTTTCGTTGAGACGCCGACATCACTAATCGCAATGATCGCAAGCAAACGGTTTTCAGTGGCAAAATTAACAAACAGACAAACTTCTGACTCAACAGAACAGTGGGCAAAGTGAAAGTGCTGTCCAGTAAATGCAACGACAAGCAAAGTCGGCAAAAAAGCGGGCGGCGCTACACTTAGACACACAAAGCAAAATTATAAGGTAGAGGGTGTCTCCTACAGACACAGATTGGACACACCATGTCTCTAGACTAGTCAAGATTAGGTCATTGAACTTCACTCTCTCTCTAACTGACCTCTGTTTGACCGATTTACAACATCACACTATCACTCAAAACGAACTCTCTTATATCCGGGTCTCTTATATCCGGGTTACACTGTAGAATAGAATAAAGTTTCATAGAAATAATAGAAATTTATTTTCTTTTGTTTATTTTTAGTTTTCTCTTTGTAAATAAATTCAAATTAAGTAATTTATTGTGCTCAGTTATTAGCAAAACTAAAAAACAACACAAAGTCATTTTTAATCAAGTGACACTGATGAAAGAAAACATCTTAAAAGCATTGTATAAAAAAAAACTAATTTTAGAGTGTAAAACAAAAAATAAACTTCAGTAAATTGTAATTTTTTAACAAAATGACATGCACTAATTTCATTATCTAAAATTTAAATCTAAAAACAAATCAATGAAATTAAATTCAATTAAAAATCAAGGAAATTAAAAAAAATAAACTTTTTTTAAAACAAACTTCAACAGATTCTTCAGTTTGTTAAATATACTCAAATAATGTGAATTTTCAGTTGCAGTTTTAGTGTCTTGAGGTCAGTACATGATTGAATCTATTTAATAATTTTGAAGAATCTTGACAAATGAATGTTTATTGTCGTTTTCAAACAACAGCAAATACTAACAATTGTATCTTTCTGCTATTTTACAGTTAATGTAATTGTGTTGATAACAAATCAAACATATTTTGTTTAATAAAATGTATAAATAATGTATTAATAAAATATACATTGTTAGTGAATTGAAAACTTTAACTGTATTGCATGTAATTTTTATATATTAAGAAAATGTTTATTACTAGTCTTTAAAAAGTTTTACAATTTTGTTTCTTATAAAACATCCCCGGACAAAATTATTAATATAACTAAAACTAAATGCTTTTTTTTCTCCTTTTGATGATATTTAAACTGGATTCACATTCAACAATAATTTTGAATTTTTCACTGTTGATTTTTCCCACAAAATTCCTTATATATCATGCATGTTTGGTTAAGGAACAAAAGTTCTTTGTTTAAGAGATTTTTATTTATTTTTTTTCTTTAGTTTGTACTAGTGTCCTGATTTTTAGGCAGAGTTTATATATAAATTATCCAATGCCCTTTGAGTACTTTTGACTTTCATAAACCATTATCAAAGAATTGTTTGTGCTTTAATAAGATTGTGTTTATAGATATCCATTGTGTTTCTTTAGTTGTTTTGAGCAAGCTGATACAACAGCCACCAAAGAAATTAAATCACAAAGAATTCTATAATAATGGTTTATAAAAGCTGAAAGGATTCAAAAGACACTGGAAAATTTATACTGAAAATAAATTAAAAGAAAATGGAAAAATTGATGATTACAAAATAAAATAGCAAAAATAAAAAATAACAGAAAATTCAAGGATTTTATTCATGTTAGATTTGATTGTTTTTATCTAAAAATTTTAAATATATTTTTCAAGGAACTTTGTAGCCCATAATAAGAGAAAAGTGATAAAGTTTTATATTGCTATTTAGTTGTTGGACTTCTGGTGTAATTGATTAATCTGACTCTGGTATAAGTAGTGATTGTTATGCAATAAATACTAAGTCCTGGATAATTGTTGATTATCATTTGATGATCTTCTTACTTGACATTGTTAATTCATCATAGTCACAGTTAGTATAGTAATATGTCATAGTAAATAAAATTTAAAACTATAAATTACATTTTCACAGCTAAAATTTTGAATGTAAAGTTGTGTTTAAGTTGATTTTTTTATGTATCGATAGTGATATGTAAATTTTCAATGTGGTTTAACTACTGTTGCTGTTAATTTGAGATAGTAACAAGAATTTTGGTAGGAATACAAATAAAAATTGATGTAATGGAGGGCAGGTAATGTGATATGAAAATATATTTTATAAATTAAAATTCAAAGTTATCAGAAAATATTTTTCAGCAGTAATTCATTCCAACTCTTGTAATTTTTGCAAACAACATAATAATTCATATTTAAATATTTATAAATTACATTTTATATCCATTTAGAGTAAATTTAAAATGTAAATTGAAAGAAAGTTTTTTTTTCAGTTAATCAAAAACATAAGACTTAAAGTCAAAACAAAAACAAGACAAAAAGATGTTGAGGTAATCAAATCCTTGAATCTTGTGAACAAATCATCTTGTTACTTTGTTAATAAAATGGCATAACAACCAGGTAATAAAATAACTAAATTGAATAAAAAAGTTATTATGAAAAAGATTAATGAAAAAGATTTTGAATAAACATATTATTCAAGAGAAAATGGCAAGACTTTAGTTATGCAAGGGGGGATCAAAATGTTTTTCTTTTCATCAGTGATTAGATATTTGCAGCAATGGATGCCAAGAAACAAGTGTTGTTTCTGTTTATTTTCTATTGAATATTGGAATGAATGTTTTATTGAAATTGGGGGAAAAATCTCTTTTAGTTGAAATTCAGTTGCTCCTAGACTATTTGAAATAACAAAATGACACTTTTTTTCTTAGTTAATGCACACTTTCAATGCTACAATTTCACTTAAAGTATTAAAGTATATTAAAGTTACTAATGTTTGCCTTGAAATTTTGTCAAATTAAAAATGTATATATGTCTTGTGTAATAAGAGACAAAAAAAAACTATTATGAGAGGAATTTTGTAGATCCTTCTCATTTCAAATGAAGTGAGTTTATCATAAAGTAGATTTTTCTATAAACAAGAACATTTTCAAATGATCATTTTAATTGAATCATATAACTTAAAATAAAATTTATAGTAATAAGAAAGAAACCATTTAATAATTTGACTGTTATCCAAATAAGAAATTTACCCCTAATAAAGTTGATCAAAATTTTTCTGTTATGATCAATTGATCAAGGATTTTGTCCAAGTCTGAAACTCTTTTCTTTGTTATTGAAAAAAAAGAAAATTATTTCTTTGTCATTTAAGAAGTATATGAAGTGTGAATAAATCAAATGACATTTAAGGTAGCATCATAATTTGGTTATTATTTTGTATAATAATGCTAACAACATTATTTTAAAACTAGATATGTAACATCTTGCAGAAGTATTTCTACTTGCCACTTGGAAGAGAAGACAATTTATGAAATTGTCCAAAGAACTTTAGAGAAAATGAAAGTAATAAATATTTGGTAAATTAAAAGTTTTGGAATTCATACCTGGAAATGAGAGAAAAAAAAACAAGTGATATCCAATATGAAAGATTTGCTACATTTTTTATATTGAAGGATGAGAATGTATGATAAAACTGAAATAAGTGATAATATTAAAATGTGTGATAATATTGAAGGATGAGACAGTGTGATAATATTGAAAAATTGCCTTGTGCTCATTCTTGTAAAATCTTTCTAATTCTTCACCTTGTCAAATGGAAGAATATAAATGTGTAATTCAAACATTTAAAAACTAGGGAATTTTAAAATCTCTCTTTTTATCTTTCTCTTCTCATTCACACACACAGATGAATACAAACAGTATTTCATATTAGTTGTAATCAATTTCTTAGTAAAGACTCTAAAAGAGACTCTCAAAGATTGTGTTGACACTTTTATTAAGAGACAATGAAAGGCAGAATAAGAAAAGAATAATTACAATATCTATAAATGCCATCAGAACTGACAAGACAAATAAAGAATAAAAAAAAAAACTCTGAAAGAAGAAATTCAAAGTGGGAAGAACACTACAGGCAATTTAAGGCACAAGAAATGAAACCTGATGAGATAACAAGGACATGGTTGTGAAGAGGATATTTGAAGAGAGAAACTGATATCTTTATTAATAGACAAGATGCATTAAAATAATGTTGATTATGCAGAGATAGAGATGAGATTGTCAGTCATATAATAAGTGAAT